AGCACTTCTAGTGCTAAATAAGAGACTAAAAGAGTATTTCTTTTTTTTCAGCGAAAGTAAATGTAGGTAAATAATTCTTAATTTCACCCTTACATAAAGTAGTTTGCTGCCAATAAAAATGCCCCCTTAGAATTACAGTATGAAGTACTGAGAAAAGTAATTGAGTACCTTTGTGTAAACAAAATTAACACTCCTTTGCATTTAGCTTGTCACTGTTTGCTAAATGTACATTAGGTGTGCTGCCTAATGTACATTATGTTACACACACACCACATGTTTGACTTTGGTGTGTGTGTTGAGTTTTACACTGGATACTCTTTCAGTTGGAATTTGACCAGCAAATTTTCATTTGTCAAGTGAATGCATAAATCATGACACTATGGAGCCCCAAAGGCAGAATGCAATGATTTACAAATCTCATAAACCCATATTTTATACACAATATGACATGGAGAACATTACATGCGTAAAATGTAACATGTACCATTTTAAGAAAAATATTGGTTCATTTTTCAATTTGGCAGAGGCAGCATGTCTCAAAAAACATTAGTGTAGGTTAATGTTTACCCCTTTATCTTTTAACAATACAACAGTTTGTGAACATCTGGGAACTGAGGAGCCCTTTTGCTGGACTTCCAGGAGAGGAATCTTGTCCTTTTCTTGTCTGATATTAGATTGTAGGTTCTCAACAGTCTGGTTTTTATTTCTTTATTTATTTTTTGTCTCGTTTTTTGTTTCATGATGGGCCAAATGTTTTCAGTTGGTGAAAAGTCTGTAACCTGTATACACCTTTCAGCATTGATGGTGCTTTTCCATATATGCAACATGCCAATTCCACTCATTCACCCCCATACCGTCAGAGGAAAGGGGGTTGTGAAAGCTGGTTGTTTAGAGTTGTAACATGGGCATCATTCTTTGCCTAAACTGCTTTGGAGCAGTTGTGGTGCTATTTAAATTATGGCCTTTAGCTGCTGACAAAAACGCATCAGTTGAGCCCCAAAAATGCGAAAAGCACAGTGTAAAGGCCATGTTGTTTGTTCCCCTGCCATCTATGAGACAGAATCAGCGCAAATCTTGGTCATGCAATAACATTTAATCGGTTATGCAACTTAGTAACAGGTTAGGTTGTATCTGAATACTTTAACATACAATAACATAGTCAGCACTGTCTAATAATTAAACTAAAATTATGTTTGGAAGGAACAGCCAATTAGAAGAGAGTTGGCTTCAGGGAGGCTTGGCCTTAAAGCGTGAACTTAAAACAGGAGTCCAAGACATGAAGTTGGAGAAGAGTATCATTTATGTTATGTTGTTATCATGAGTAACCAGCAATAAACGGACTGCTTTTTTAAGCACACTGTTTATTTCAGTTCTTACACTGCTGCTGTGCTTGTGGTTAAATTTTGTATAAAGTACAATGCAGTTCAGTTTGTCTTTCTGTTGCACCACAGAGTCTACTCATACATGTGTAGAAAAAGCTCGACAGGCCTGCTGTGCCCTGTTGTGGGAAGGGAATAGCAAACAGTTAGCTACAAATAGATTGTAAAGATGTTTGTGCCTGTGAATGCTTAGAGATTTAGGGACTTTTGCAAAACAGCAGGTCAGACTTCATAAGTGGGTTTTGGAAAGCTCTCTGCAAGGGAGATGGAATGACTGGAAGGTCAGTAATTATGGGAGATTGTGGGCTGTTGGCTGATTAAGTGGGCCTTATGCTTGGCCTTGAATACTGAAACCCAGTGGCTGATTTCCCTGAAGTGGACAGGAAGCTAAGTCCAGAGGGAGGGAGCTCTACAGAGGAAAACCCTCCTTCCAGATGATCTCTTGTGAATGCAGGGTAGTGACAAGGGGACCCTGTTTCTGTGAGCGGACTTTGAATGGATTCATTGAGAAAATGCCAGCCTGGTGTGGAGTGGGGGCCAAATCATATAATGCCAGAGGAATTAGCAACAAACTGTCCAATTACAATGTAAAAAGCCGTTTTAATTAATAATTTTCATTTACAAGGCCAGATCAGAACTGTATTGCATGTTTTGTTAAATAAAATATTCACGGTGGTTTTGAAAGGTTCAAAATATAACAGCTCCAAACACTGATCACATTAGAGGAACCCTGTAGTAGTCATTTTAGATTGCCTTTTTATTTCTGCTTGGATTCGTTCAAGGTTTTTGCATGGAAGGATAATGATGTTTCAGTTTTCAGCATCACCAGATCTCCTGTCTTATGATTTACAATTTACATGCTTTCGGTACTAGACTTTCATCGGGAAATGTGGTAAATGTAGAGCATACTTAGTGACATTTGCGATTGAAAGCTTCACTTTTTACACCTCTTAACTGTCAAGCTAAGATTTCTTTTTCTGTCTTTCTAGGCGTGTTTGCTCTGGACAGCATCATGCAGAACTGGTTCACCCTCTTTACCCCCACTGAAGCAACCAGCGTTGTGGCTAGCACTGTCATGTCCAACAGCACTATTGTCCGCCTGCATCTGGACTGCCATCAGCAGGAGAACCTGGCCAACTCTGCCCGCACCTTAGCCCTGCAGTGTGCCATGAAGGACCCCCAAAACTGTGCCCTCTCAGCTTTGACACTCTGTGAAAAGGACCACAATGCCTTTGAAACAGCCTATAAGATTGTACTGGATGCAGCTGCCACTGGAATGAACTACACACAGCTGTTTACAATAGCACGCTACATGGAGCACCGCGGTTATCCAGCAAGGGCATACAAACTAGCAACGTTAGCCATGACTCACCTGAACCTAAGCTACAACCAAGACACACACCCGGCCATTAATGATGTGCTCTGGGCATGTGCTCTCAGCCACTCCCTGGGTAAAAACGAACTGGCAGCCGTCATCCCTCTAGTGGTGAAGAGTGTGAAGTGTGCCACTGTCTTGTCGGACATTTTACGCCGGTGCACTCTAACAACACCAGGTGGCATGGTGGCACTACACAGTCGCAGAAACTCTGGAAAGCTGATGTCTCTGGACAAAACTCCACTCAGGCAGCTACTGGACGCCACAATCGGGGCCTACATCAACACAACGCACTCTCGGTTGACGCACATCAGCCCACGCCACTACAGCGAGTTCATCGAGTTCCTTAGCAAAGCCAGAGAAACATTTCTCATGGCACACGACGGACACATCCAGTTCACACAGTTCATAGACAACCTAAAACAGATATACAAGGGCAAGAAGAAGCTCATGATGCTTGTTCGAGAGAGATTTGGTTAAAAGACGATCATATGACCAAATTGTATTTTTGTTGTTGTTGTTTTGTTTGTTGTCTCCTTTTTTAAAATCCTTTCTAACTTGAAGTGAAAATCCACCTAAAACAACTTACATGTGAATCTTATTTCTGTGCTTTAGGACTGCTGGGTCTGATGGATAACAAACACAATTTCCTCAAGACAATTATTTAAGACTGTGACGTTAAAACGTTACCAAGCTTGATCACACACAGATTCTAGTGTTGGGTAGCCAACACTAGAATCTGGCCCAAAAGGTTTTAGAGTAAAGTTTAAAATTTGGAGGGGAAAAAAAAGACTGTAAACCATATGCGCAACACCCGGGGCCAAGACTAAAACAGAGTGTACACACTTTTTTGTTTGGGAGATTTGAGGCTTTTCATACCGGTTCTGTCCTTATCCAGCTTATTTCACCATAAATAGATATACAAATGCACCGAGTCTTTTGTCACATAAATAATTCTGAATGTAGACTTAGTTGCTACTGGTGGATAGCTAATGGCTATACTGTGACTATGTTTGTTCCAAGATAGTTGCTCTTATAACACATACAATTGTGATGTCGGCCAAGACAGTACTGTAAATACAGACGTTCCCATTGGGGCTTTAATCAGACATTATGTAACTTGTAAATCATCTTCACCCCAGTAGCAGTAGCTACAACCATAGTCATAACTGCAGCAAGAGCAATGCCCAAAAGCTTTATCTGCTAGTGATTATATTTAGCCTTCGAGAACCAGAAGAAGGAATTTACCTTTAATGGCCACTCATCACCACATCCTAGAGTCAGTGTGGCATCATCATATTAGAGACACAGAAAAGCAACAATTTTTCTTATTTGACAGTATTCTTTTGAAAATGTTTTTAATTATTTAAATAGTTGCCAACTATTATTTTCTGTTGATCCACGGATAGATTAAGTAATTGGATCTCTAATTAAATGTATTACTTTGAACTGCAATATAATCACAAAGTTATAGGTACCGCTCCACCAATTTGTGATGTTGTAGCGCCAAACCATAATTCTTATTAAATGTTTAAAAGATAAGCAGGAATTACATTTTAGAGTTCCTGTTCAGACTGTTCAGGGAGTTCTTCCTTCCCACTGACAACAAGTGTATGATAATGGTAGAGTTATTTCTCTAACGTTGTATGGTCTTTTCCTTAAAGCACTTTCAAATGATTCTGGTTTATGATGGCATAAAAAACCAAGTATGCAACTCAAATGAAATGTAAATCCGTTGCTTTTTGGTGTCTTAACAGTATAGACACTGAAAATCTTGGAGTGTTCACCAATACCAAACATTTTTGTCTATTTATTTTTTGCTGCTTTCTGATGTTTAGAAGGTACCCCGCCGACCACCGTTAGCATTATGCAGCAGATTTTTTTTTTTTGTTTAAATGTAGCTCACAGAATTTTTTTGTGTCAACACACCAACAAACTTGGCAGTTATCTTTCAAAGGCAGCAAATAATAAGACCGCTTACTAACAAGCGTAAATGTATAAAGTGTAATGATTTTGCGATGTTGTATGGGGGAAGAAACACTTGCCTTCATTTCTAAGAAAACTCCACAGGGTACCTTTAATAGACCAGACTTTTTAAACATCACTTTATCTGTGGGAGTGTTGTACACACTGTTTATACATCTGGCCCCTGGTATTGATGTGTCAAAACAAAAAAACCCAAAAACTATGTATTTAGTTTGCAAAACTGTCACTTTGTTTGAAGATTTTGTTTTCCATTACATACAAACGTGAGAGGGTTTTACGCTGAGTATTTCCTGTATTGTCCAGTGGCAAAATGTCTGCCTTGCACTGCTCCTGCTTTCCTCGGCTAATGCTCACAGCCTCAAAGAGAAGACAAATGGCTTTAAACCAAATGGACCATTTGAAGTGACGAGTACCTCTTTTAAAGGATCCAGCTTTACTCTTCCCCCCAGGCCTCCTCACCCATCTGCTCAAGAAAGGCTCTAAATCCACCGTCAAAATTCATTTCGCTGCCATTTCCAGGCTGGTTGTTTTGGCTTTGCAGTGTTGTCGCAAACGTTCAGTATGCTTATTTGACGGACACATTTGCCACGATAGCACGACGACAAACCATCGCAGTTCTTATCCTCGTGGAAACTATGTATATTCTCAGGGATTTCTCAAAAAAACAAAACAAAACAAAAAAACCCCGAAACAAACAAACAAAAAAAAGGCAGAAAAAAGAACAAAAGCATTTTATTGTCCTGTGTATATATGAAAGTATATGTCTGAATATTGAAAAAATGTATATGTTAACTAATTTATGACAGAATATTCTATGTAAGACACAATACTTGAAGCTGCAGTAATTTTGGAAACAAGCGAAAAACAAAACATATCAGAAGGACTTCTAAACGTTGGCCTGGCATTGCATTATGGGCCCTGTTTGGGCTCTGCAGACATGAAATGAACTGCAGAAAGTGGCCGGCAGGAAGTGGATGTGCAGAGTGGGTATTATCCAGAGCACAGAAGTGTACTGAGGGGTTTTACAAGTCATTGAAGGAGGCAGAGCGGCAGCAACATACAGCTGCCAACTGCTGCTGTTCTCTCATTGTGGTCAAGTCTGCCTCATTCCACCTTCTGCAGTGATTCGCTCACAAAATGAAGCTTTTTTTTAAGTCCATGCCTTTTCTCACTTCTTGACTTTGTGCAGGACAGAAAGTTGCTCTGTACAACAGGTCTTGACTGTTCCACTTCATTTTTAAAAAATTGATTTAATTGTAATGTTATTGTCTCTTCCTCTTTAACTTCATGTCTCTAGAATTCCTCACACAAGAACAGCCTTCTTTCTTGCCTTGTCTTAATGCTTTAAAATAACCAAATGGGAGTTCTAACTACCAAACTCTTTTCATACGCAAACTGACCATGATGATGGCCTTTTAGTGTCTTTGATTTGTAGCTGAACTGGCTCTGTATTCTGTGCTTGAAAAGCTCATCTCATCTTCTTCAGTGTCGTCTCTTAGAGGTCTACTAGTAGCTCTTTTGTTTAGAAATGAATGATGTGCCCTTTTATTTATTATATTAGGTAAATGATTGTACAACCATGTCAACATGCTCATGAAGTTAAAACTAAGATTTGATACACTGATCGATTTATTTATGTAACTAAATCACTGTTTTATAAAGTTGTTAATGAATCAACACTTTGCTTTAATTAAATTAGATTTTTGAGAGGAAAATGTCTTTGTGTTTATTATTGCTTTTAAGGTACATATTGTAATTTTTTTTTTAAAAAAAAGATTTTTTTTAAAATGGCTTATAATCAGCCACTATCGCTATCTTCAGAATGTAAAGAAACACTCCTGTTTATTTCCAAAAGATCTCTGTATTGTGTTAAAGAGATACCAACTTAAGTTGAGCTGGGCTGTACTTTGGTGTAATACCAATTTGTAACATAAGATGCTGCAGTATGTCAGTGTCATTTTGACTTTATCAGGAAAGTAGATTGGAAACCATTTTTAGTTTGTAGCTATCCTAAGACATGGGATTGCTAAAAAATAATATTACAACTTTTAAACTGGTGCTGCTGAAAGCTTTAGTTAAATTCTGCATAAGGTGATTGCTAAAACAGAAAACCGTAAAATACAGGAACGGCAGAACTGTCAGCTATCATTTTAATAATCCTCTCTCAATTGTTTTAACGCTAAATTATACAACACCAATTCATAACAACAGTTGCCTCGAGGCACTTTAATATAGGGCAAAAACCAACAAGAAGATCTCCAGCAGAACCAGGCCCATGGAGGGGCAGCCATCTGCTGCGACGAACCAAATAGGGGTGGGTTTTTATAATCGATTTATCGATTAAAATCGATTCTGGCTTGGATTACGTAAAATCGATTCATTAAAATCCTGAATCGATTTTTTAATATAAATTTATTTTGCCTGAAATGCCAGAATCTCTGGTGAAATCTCACAAAATTTCAACAAACAGCTAAGACAGTAAATGAGAGCAGGTACGGATTCTGCACAAAGACTTAAACACACAGCACAACCCGCGGATCAGAATCAGTTAGATGTCGCCTTTCTCACGGTCGGGGCTGAAAGCCGACAGCTCGCTGATTCTGATCTGTCGGCGGGTCCGCGCTTTGTGTTCACGCCCTTTATGCGCTGATTCCAAAGCTGTTAGTTTGATGTCTCTCCAAACAATATTGAACGAACCAGCAGCAAAAGAAGATCCAAACTACGCTTCACATAAACATCGTCATGTATTCACTCTTACTTTTACTGTTTTGCTTCAACCACGATGCACAGCTCTCTCTGTACTGTTTTCTTCATTATTCGCTTGCTTGTTACGCACAAGTCTACCGCTGTTTACAGGGCTGTCGGCCGCCGTTTTTTTTTTTTTTTTCGTTTTATATACTTCCGAAAAGAAAACCTAATTTCTGCCGTTCAATACTGAACAAATTTAAACTTTTTAAAATTATGCAAAACGCTCAGCCGTGTCTCTAATAAAACCGCTGTAACGTCAGAGGTAATGTTCATGTGTTTTCTTTCGTTTTTGATGTACTGCAGAATATTTTTATAAAATCCCAGGCCAGAAAAATCACCTTCATGTTTTTCTGTGTTTTATCCTCAGCTACTTTGACACAAAGGCATCTGCTGTGATGCTCACACCTTTGATAAAGTCTTGCGTGTGTCAGCTTCCTTTTTATAGATAAAAAAAAAATGTAAATGTACTGATCTGAATTATAATATTTCTGACTGTCAAAATTTCCCAGATTCAAATCGAAGTGAATCGAATCGAATTAAATCGAATCGTGGATCGAATCAATTCGGGACCTTGTGAATCGGAATTGAATCGATTCTAGGAATCAGTGACGATACCCAGCCCTAGAACCAAATCAGAAAGTTATGGGGTAATGTGGACTGATGACCGTGTGTACAGCAGCATTTTAATCATTATATTAAACGCTGTAGGTGGCAGACACTGATCTTACTGTATAAATGTAACAGGGCTCGGTAGTGGTTCTAAAAGTTTGAACTGCTTCAAGCTTTATTTGTGACAAGCACATTAGCTTACCAAAAATGCTAGCTAGCTAGCTGGTACTGCTGGGATGCTATATATTCACAAGCAAACATAAGCCTAAAAAAAAGCTGGCGCTACATGCAGTGATGCTAGTGTAATTCATGTTAGCGCTAACATAGTACAGCTTTTTCTCCAGGGACCAAAAAATCACAGAACTGCTATATGATGAAGCTAATCCAACAATGAATCCCGAAGCTAATAGGAAAAGGAAATTGAATTGAAACGAAGGAGCTCATCATTAAATGTCAGAAAATAATCTGCATTCTTAATTTGACCTTAGTCAAAGGTCGAAGGCCTATAGATTTCTCCCTAAAAATCACAGTTTTTATTTGTGAATCTAAAAAATAAATTTTAAATAACATTTTTGTTGCAAGTTGCTTTTTTCTCTCTGTAAATTAAATAATTAATTTTTCATTTAGTGATATTCATTCATTATCATTTTCCTACTTTTGATTGACTTCTACACGATTTTGTTTTACCAATTGCATTAAATGGTTTGTTTATTTGATTAGTTTAACTCAGCCAGGATGGATACAGAAAGATGGTTTATCAATTCACCTGCCAAGCCAACCTGCTGACATAGTTTCTGGGGGCAATGGGCAATTTTTTGAGGCTTCTGGTGGAGCCAGTAGATACCAAGACTTCCTGTTCCATCTGCCAATACCATGTTGAATTAAAATAAATGTAATACATTTAAGCTCTCAGATGTAGACTTTGTGAAAAGCTGTACTACGCAGTCATTTAAGCATCACCGAAAAACTATTTTACAAAGTGGTGAAAGAAAACCCTTTTATTATTAATTATATAAGATCCCTTAATCTTATTTATGTAATAATAAAAAAGTTTTAATAATTAAACATTTTAAAGTAAAAGCACTAATTATATAGAATAATATTAATTACATTATTTGGTCTGAATTCATAAAAATATTATATCACTAAATTTACACAGTAAAGACTACAAAGTAATGAGTACCCAGCTTTAAAAAAAAAGTTATGATGCATAAAGAAAAATATTTAGATTCAAAATATAGTGGAGCTGAAGTAGGAAGTGACATAACATAGTATAAGTACATTGAAGCCTGTACTTGAGTGACCAAAGTTAATTAGGTTCTACCATTGGGCCTAGTCATGCTCTCAGCTATGAATAGGTGTTGGGCATTGGCAGTTAAACCCCTGGCAGTTTAAAAACTGTTTTACTATGTCTGCCTGGTAAGAAAATCGCACATGAGTAGAATGGAGGTCATTTTATAGGGTAGATTCAAGATTCCTTATTTGTCACATGCATAGCCATACAATACAACACACTGTGAAATGTGTCCTGAACTGCTCATTGACTGTGCAAAACATTATGAACAAGAAGTAAATTTAAATTAAAAATGGGAAATTTTAAATTAAAACCTGAAAATGTACATGTGCAAATGGAATGTTAAAGTGCTTTATGTCATATTAGTACAGCAATGTATTGACAGAGCAGCGCAAGTAGAATAAACAAAATGACCAAAGTAATTTAACAGTAGTGAAGCAGTAGTACCCTTCCTGTTCATTCCTGGTCCTCCTCACACATCCTGTGGGGATGATGCCCTTCTATGGCCTTGTCCAGATCTCCTCTTGTAATAACTCCCTCATCGTACCTATCTCTGCCACCAATAGTGACAAGAACACTAGCAGTAGCAAAAATAGAGAAAAATAAGTCAGGGGGGAGAACAGAGAACAATGGGCTGTGGCCATCACCTGCAAAAATCTTCCTTTTTGGGCGGTTAGTTTGTTGTTGTCTCTCCAGTGCACCTATTGTCACTTTGGATCATAACAGGTGAAATGGCTCATAGCTTCATAGCTAGACAGACTGATAAGCCTTGAGTTGACCAGATTTTGTGTTATACCCTGATGATAAAGTGTTAGTTTGCATCATATTAAAGCTTACCAAGACATCTCGGGTATGTCTCCCATGAATCTTTCTTTGTACAAGTGTTATTTATCTTCTGAATGTGCAAAAAAACCCAAAGAAACATGGAAGCACTTCCCTCCATTATTTACATCTATTTTGGCCTCTGACCCAAGGCAGGCGGCTGTAGTAAAGCATCTTTTAACATAATCACAGTTTTTGAAGAATTTTAAAGAATTAAATAATATAGAATAAGGCATCAGCATGATCAGAGTAAAAATACACACTTAGATAATGTGTATTATTAGATTAAAAAAATCTTCATAGCTGTTTATTGAGATTGATTGAGATATTTAAAAAATAAAAAATAGAAAGAACTGAGAAAAGTCAGAGAAGAAAAATAGATTGACATGTGTGAGAAGATGACTTCAGGAGTTTTTATTTATCTTTGTGTGAAGAGAGACTCACAGAAGATAATGGATTACTTGGATTGCAGTTTGTTTTTAATCGTTGATCTTAAGCTCCCTGGGCAGCAACACTCCTCCAATCTGCTCATTTCAGACTTCAGTTAATTTAATGATTATGTGATGAAAGTTTCTCAACAAACTTCAACTTATTCTGGTCCGGTGTGGTTTTGGACTGGAATTCATTCTCATTTGTTATTCAAAGAAAACGAGGATGTTTTCTGAATTACTTTGAATATTTTAACTTGATCATTTTTTAATAAATCCTCATTTAGCAGTCTGATGATACCTACTCACCAACACTGCAGTAATATCAAGCCCCTCATAAACAAAGAAACAAACGTGTGTTGTGTGTTTAACGTCATGCAATGCTCATTTTGTTATTTTAGCCTTTCCTGATTCCACTTCCTCCGTCTTTTCAGCAGCAAGCATGGGCATGAAGCATCAGGAAGATAAAAAAACAAACAAAAAAAACCCCCAACCCCCATTATAATCTTGATAGTCAGCAGGTGTTAAAGTGGGTGGAGGAACAATCAGATCTGGTGTAGCATAAATGGTAAATGGACAGATTCTTATATAGCGCTTTTCTACTCTCCTGGATAGGGATGGGTACCGGTATCCGGTGCCATGATGGCACCGGTTCTGACATAAACGGTAGTAACCAGACCGAAAAGCAGCGCACATTTCGGTGCTTTATTTCAGTGCCTTTTTTTCCTGAGCTGTGATACACTTTAGATTCTAGCCAATCATTTTACGTTTCAGAGGATAGTAGGCGGGTCCAGGTACGTACGTTCTTTTAGAG